CGGCTGGCACCGGAGAACTGTTGGAAGAGAAGCACACGCAGCCCCCGTGAGCTCTGCAGCCCATTTCTGCAGCACTCATCCTGCCAGGGCCGCCTCCCCCCCACTTGCATCCCTGTTCCCAGCCAGCTTGTTGGCACTCCTGGGGCCAGTCCCCAAGCCCTCGTTCCCTCCCTGGCAGCTCAGCCACACACAGACCTTCACCACGGCAGCACCTCGAGCCCTCCACCTTCTCCACTGCTCCCCAGCAGCCTGGGAGATTGCCCACCAGCTGTTAAGGTGAGAGCACCCAGCAGCAGCAGGAGATGTAACCCAGGGGCTTTCACCATCCCTCAGTCTGCAGACTCCTCATGTTTACCCACAGAAGTACAGAGCAGAGGTACAGAGAATGCACATGCCCAAGATTTGCACTGCTCATACAAAGTTGCTTTCCTCAGTGTTGAGACAGGATAAGGGGCAATGGTTTTAAAATGGAAGAGGGAGATTTAGACTGGAGAGACAGAAAGAATTTTTGACACTGAGGGTGGTGAGCCCCTGGCCCAGGTTGCCCAGAGAGGTGGTCACTGCCCCATCCCTGGAACCATCCCAGGGGAGGTTGGCCGGGGCTCTGAGCACCCTGCTCTAGCTGCAGATGTCTCTGCTCCCTGCTGGGGGCTGGACTAGATGACCTTGAAACGTCCTTTCCAGCCCAAACCATCCTGTGATTTTATGATGACATTTTTCAGACTCCTTGAAATGGATTGCAGACCTCCAGGAGTCCATGTCATAACCAGTACACAACTGGCTTCAGCAGGGAGCACCCCCAGAGCAAGGAGGATGGCTGATCCTCACACGAGCCACCAGAGCTCTGGAGAGAGCAGTAAGGGGGCAGCGCTGGGGCTGAGCATCTGCAGTGAGCACAGGGGGCACGTGCCCACACAGGTCCCTGCCCGGCCACATGCCGGGCACACCCCGAATGCCAGGCACAGCCTGGCCTTGGCCCCTGGCCACCCCCCAGCTGGAATGCAGGTGCTGCCCCACTCACGACGGCCGGCGTGCAGGCGAAGGTCCGCGCCGGGACCTGGAGCAGGAGGGACACGCCTGCGGTCAGGAAGCTCTCACCCACTCCCAGCACCATGAGCTTGTCCAGCAGTGGTGGCAGAGCAGAGGGGGACGAGTCATGGGGGATGATGCCACCTCCCACCTGCTTCACCACACCCTGCAGAGAGAGGTGACAGGGACGTTAAACCAATCCCCTGGAGCGCGGGCGAGGCTGCCCAGGGCCCCGAGACTGAGCGTGGGGCCAGGGCCACCCAACAGCCTCCTCCTGCCAGCAGCTCAGGGGCAACACTGGACTTGGAGCAATCCCTCTAGATGGAAGGAGCTGATAAAGGCCAGAGGGAGTAACTGAGGCCCTGTTAGCTAACAGCACACTTTGCCCAAATCACAACTCACTGCTTTGTTTCGCCCTTGAGATTTCACCCCAAGAGCAAACGAGGGGCGAAGGTGCTGCCAGCCCAGGCCCAGCTCTGCCTTCCTGGCCTCCAGCACCCAGCCAGGCATGAGCCATCTGCAGACTCCACGATAAACTTGTACCAATAGCATCTACTTACTACAGAGACCAGCTCTGATCATCTGGAGGTGGTGGGGGCAAAAACTAATCCCAGTGAATTGGGAGAGGGACACGGCACTAATCATGCAGACTGCAGTGCCTGCTCTTAGCCCTTGTCCTTTCAGTTGGGAGAGACATTTAAGATCATCAAGTCCAACTGTGCCCCCAGCACTGCCAGGTCCCCACTGCCCCGTGTCCCTCAGCACCACATCTCCACAGCTTGGAAACCCCTCCAGGGGTGGGGACTCCACCAGGGCGAGGAGAGGATGGAACTCCTTGTCCCAGCATTACCAAGAGCAGACCCACAGACTGGGGCAGTCTCAGGGTAAGTTTGCAAACAGGGCAAAAGGTTTTGCAAACAAAATATTGAGCTAGCAATTCCAGAACAAGTCCTTGCTCTGTGGTTGTCCTGGAAGAAGACAATGGCTCCCACGGGATGAGGTGGCCGGGGTGAAAGGCCCCATGCCACAGGGTGCTGCCACCCCATGTTAACTCACGTCCAGGTCCAAGCCCAGGAAGGAGCCGGCGGTGAAGGGCAGGCTGGCCAGCTGGTAGTGAATGGTCCCCACTGTCCCCACGGGGATCACCACTGCACGGAGAGAAAACAGCACCCCCACTTCAGGCAGTGAGCAGCAACACAACCCCTCAGACCCTGCAGTCCCCCGACCTCACAGCCACACCCAGCTCCCCACCAGGCACCCCCATGGGGTGCTCGCTGCTACTCAAAACGGCCAAAACATCCCCAAATGTGGCTTTGTGGGACCTGCCTTCAGAACATAGCCCAAAAAGAGCATCAAAGATCATTAGCTAAATCCAAGGGTGACGTATAAGGAGGGCCACTATGCCACCTCCTCCCTGGTGCATGTATGGAGGAGATGTGGGAAAGGGCCCTTCCCAGGGGGGCTGCAGGAACGGGGGGAAGCAGCACCTCATCCTCCTGCAGAAACACACCATTGAGCGTGCTCAGGAGCTGGATGTTCACAATGTTGAGCACGATGTCGAGCACCGGGCACAGCTGCAACAGACAGACAGGGGAGAGCTCAGCCCTGTGCCAGCCTCCTGCCCACCCCACCCCACCCCAGTGCCCAGGGAACAAGCGCTGCGTGGCACGGGCAGCGGCCGGGATGCCCCGAGGGCCTGGGGGCAGTGGAGCACCCCTGGAGCTGTGGTACCACTCCAAAGGGGACAGCTTTGATCCCAGGAGCACTCCATGGGCATCCCCATGGGCAGCACACGCCTCTGACAGGGGGAATCAACACAGGGTGCAGCCTGCTGTGACCTCGCAACACGCTGCCCCTGGCATGCCCAGGTCTTGGCTACAGAGGGAGGGCAGTCCTCAGACTCACCAAACCAGGCAGAGTTCCTTTCAGATGGCTAAGCACTGCTGCATTTACTGATAGGGACAGCAAGCTGGGAAGGAAGGGAAAAAAAACTCCAGTCATTACAAACATAGCTCCAGGAGAGGAGACTGAAGGAGCTCCAGCCCCTGGTCCTCAGCCCTTCAGGGACACTGCTGCAGCCAAGAGCCAGGGCTACACCAGAGGCAGGAGCTCAAGGAGCTACTCGCCTCACCACGAGGAGAACTGGGCTCACTTCTGAGAAGCAGAGGCTTCAGCACTCAGGGTGCACAGACACCACTGCACAAAAGGAGTGAGCCTCTCACAGCGTCACCTGAGTTGGGTCATCTCCCCCTGGTATTTAAATCAGGGCTGTAGTTAAGGGAAGGTGGAGCTGTTACAAAATATCTCCACAGTAGTTATGGGAAACAAACAGTTTACTGGTGGAATAACAAGAGGAGAAATGTGCTGTGTAACATTCCAGCACAGCTGCTGAACAGATCACCCCGGGCTGCGTGACCCCCGCAGGCAGCACAGAGCCATTCACCTTTGATAATCAATATATTTCTGGACTATTGAGTTAGAATGTTCAGCAGCACACTCAGCGAGCCACAGACAGCAGGAAAAAAAACCCAAGTTCTGCCTATAGGCACATCTGAGGAACTGCCAGGCAGTCAGTCATGTACAGCCCCGCTCCCCCTTGCCCCCAGGGCACTCACTTCCCACACACCAGCCCCTGAACCCCACTAAAACTTAAAATATGACCCCCGGAGCGGGTGATCCGTGTTCCTCTGTTCACTGACACAGTCTCCTTCAAACCAGCTGCCTCACTGATTGAAATATAATGTATAATGCAGAAATTAATTAGGAGAAATTCAATGAACCTGAAAAGCGAGCAATTCAAAAGCAATAAAAGAAAATATTTCCCATGATCAATTTACTGTTGTGTTCATCAACACATGAAGTCAGCAAATTCTTTCTGCCAAGAATTTAATAAGACTGAGCGAGAGGAGGGGGGTTTGCAGGGAATTACACACACCCAGAGCAGTCGCAGCACAGTCCATATGCCCAGCAGCTTTCTGTGACAGCAGCCAAAGCAGAGTGTAAAACCAGGGCAAGCAACAGTGCTGCTCTCCTAGAACACCCCCTGCCCTGCCACTCCTACCCTTTGCACACCCATTCACCAGCTAAGTCTAAAGGAAATCACTGGAAAATCCACAAGACGTCACGCTTCAGATCTTAGAATTTCCACTGGCAAACAGGGCAAATTAACCTTCATCTTCCAAAAACACAATTTTTTGCCAGTTCCACCAAAGCTTTGGCAATGGGAAAGAAATGACTTCCCTGAGGCCTGGCTCAGTACCAGCTCAGCACCGTCTGTGTCCTGGCAGACTGTCTAGATCCCTGGATAAAGAGAAGAGGATTGCACGTGATGGAAAACATAAATCCAGAGGCACTTACCCAGAGAGGACTTTGATCTTCATGCCACCAATAACACAGAGGCAGTCTTCAACGACGACCTGCACCGTGCCCGACTCAAAATTTGTGCATTTAATGTTTGCAGCAATTCTCACATCCACCAAGATATTAATTAGTTCTGAAAGAAGGCCAACCAAGCTGGAAAAGTAAAGGGGTTGAACAGATTTCACCTCTCGGCCTCTAACCAGAGAGTCTCAGCAAAGTCAGTAGCAACAACTGCTCCTCCACCTCCTGCAACTCATTACAAATGCCACAAGCCATCTTTGAGTGCTGTTCTGCTCTGTGACTTTATTACAGGTGAGAAACACCTAGAAATCCACAAAAGATGCTGAAGCACTGCTCAGTAGGAAGGCCAGGGGCAGTTTCCCTGGCGAGCACCGTGAAGCCCCAGACTCACCAGTTGCCACTGAGCTCCAGCTTGGCGGCGATGTTGATCTGGACCCCGATTCCTGACAGGGTCACTGACAGGTCAGGGACCCGAATCTTGACGAGATGCAGGCTGCAAACAACAGCAAAAGCTGGCATGAGTTAAAAGCTGAGCAGCTGTGCCCACTGAAGAACCTACAGCACCCGTGTCACCATGGCCACCTGCAGCTGGAGGCATGGGTATCATAGGCAAATGAGACCAGCTCTGGGATGAGAGAGAGGCTGCAGCTGAAACCCAAAAGGCAGCCTAGAATCAGACTGGGGTGGAAGCTGACTTTATAAAGCAGTCAGCTTCTTGTCTCTGTGGCCCCTTCCTCCCTCTCTCAGCGCTGTCAAGAATCTCAGATCTCAACAGCAACATCAGAGCCATCATTCTGCATCTGCATCCACAACCTGCAGTGCACCTCACCACCCACCTTACAACCACAGAGCACTTTTATTTGATCAGAATGGCAGAAACCAAAGCAAAATGAGGATAATTACTTGGGCCAATCATGTCAACCACAGCTCAGCATTTGTTGCTGTGGAACTGATGGTGAAGGTGCTCTCCTGGAGAAGCCCTCACTCTGCACTTACCCAGTGATGATGGTGGGGGAGTTCAGCAGACCCCCTTCACTCATGATGTTTGGCAGCACGAGGCTCTGCACTTGCTGGTGGAGAAGCCCACTCCGAACTATGGCATTCAAGAGAACTGGAAAAGATCTCTGCATGAGGACCAGCACTTGCAGCAAGGACCTCCCTCCACTCAGTCAGACCTGTCCTGGCAAAGGTGTCACACAACAAAGCCCCACGGCTCCCCAAAAGTCCTTATAAAGCCAGGAGCCACCTCGAGGCATTCCAATCACAGAGGGCATGCTGCTATTTCACCACGTGCACTAAACCAAAGCTGCCCTTAGTGAACAAACCAGGAGGGACAGCAGTGGAGAGCATCCCACACCTCTGACTTGGAGATCACAGGACAGTTGTGCACTACCAGCAAGGACAATGACCCCACTCAGTGGCTGTGCTTCAGCTCACCGCTTGTTTCCCTCTTGTAAAGGGGTTTTGCTTGCTTGGTTGGTTGCTCTTTTAATAGAAGCAACTTGAAGCCTCTTTTATTTGCTGGAGCATTGCAAATCTTAACACGGCTACTAAAACTCACAGCAGTTGTCTGCCCAATATCAGCAGCTCCACTATGGAAATGAGAAATTAAGACAAAGAGAGGAAACAATCCAGATCTAGCCCTGAAATCCTGCATGGCTGTTTGGTGCTGAAACAAATCCCAGCTCTGGAGCAGGGAGATTTCCCTGGCCCGTGAAGAAGCGATGGCTGTCAGAACCTCTGAGTGAAGTCTGCAGCCCTGAGGAACTATAAAATACAGATGGAGATATTTCAGGAGGTTTTACTCCACATCCTGGCCTCACGTAGCTCCCCAAGCCACCCTAACTCCTGTTTTGTAGTTACCATTCTGCACTGCTGCGGGACTGACGGCGCAGGACAGGCCGGACAGGACTCCCTGGGAGGGCCAGAGGAGCCCACAGAAGATGATGATTCCAAAAAGCTTCAACATTGTCATCTCCAGAAAACTCTCCTGCTGGCAAGGGAGACATCAGAATGGAAAATGGGAGAAAAGCCTCTAAAAAGGAATCCCAGTGTCTTTACAAAGAAAGAAGTCGAGTGAGAAATCCCTCCTCTGCTCTCTATTGAGCTCAGGCAAGACTCTGCTCGAGCGTGGGGCAGCAGGGTCACGTTCATGGCCACACACACAGACAGACTTCAAGTGTGGGTCAGTAAAAGCCTTTTCCTTGTCCTTTGTGACTTGCCCCAGGCATTCTATGTGTTCACACCAGAGAGCCAACCTGCTTCTCCCCCAGCTGATGTTTAAAGCAGACGTTTCTTCTGTACCCCTTAAATGCAAAGTTACAGATGTTGTGAGGGTCTTTGCCAAGGGAAGCATCCGAGAAATATTCTTGTTCTAACTTTCAAAAGCAATAAACTAAACCTGAAGCAATGACAATAAGCTAACTACAAAGTTATAAAGTGTCATTATGAAACGACAGGCATAGGCAGATGGTTCAGAGCTTGGTGCACAGCAAAATCTCAGGCTAAGGCAGCCAAGCCCGAGGCTCCCTGTGTGTGTCCTGCCAGGGTGACGATGCTGCTGCCACCCTGGCCTCCCTGCCACCACAGAGCCACCAGCACCTGAGGCCCCAGTGACGTTGTTACCTGCAGCCAGCCAGGAAGGGCTCCCAGCTCTGCTCCAGCTCTTCTGGAAGTGGTCGAGAGTCTGCGTCGTCCTCCCTTTTTTACCTGCAATTGGGATGGAAGAAGTTGCCCTTATATAAAACCAGCAGCCAGCCAGACACACCTTTTCCTCACACCCTCCGTGCCTCCTGAGCAGGCATCCCCCTTTCCAAGCACAGCCAGCTGCTGCCTCTCCTGATTTATAGGAGGTAACGTCACTGCTGACTTGACTGGTTGCCATTTCCCTTTACAGCTTGGATTACTTGGATGCTGCTTTTTCCCCCCTAGCCTGTCTTGAAAAGGATGCCCTGTAATGGTGGCCCCAGTGTGGCTCCCAATGCTTTGAGGTAAGAACATTTTAGGAAATCATGGGAATTACTGAAGCATCTAAATCTGACAGGAGGCTGTGGGGCTGCCTGTAGGGGAAGGCTGCACACAGAGCACACAGATTCAAGGAGGGTTATAGCAGGAAACAATCTACTTTTCCCAATCCCTGAGGAGCTGTGGGACTCATAATGCTCATTCCCATTCCTAATGCAGCACTGAAAAATATTTCCTTGACAAAAAGCAACGAGGAAAGGTTGCACAAACATGATAAATGTTGGCTTGGTTAAGACCAAGCTTCAAACTGACTTCAGTTGTCTGTAAAGAGTGTCATGAATTGACCATAATAAATGAATTAGTATTGAAATGTATAAAGCCACCAATAAATAACATTTTGAATAAGCAACACTTGTGCTAGCAGTGAGCTGAGGGCAGCAGGATCGTGTACTTCAAAGGAAAACCTCATCCTGCAGGGATGAAACCCTCATCCCTCAGTGGACACCTTGGCTGGGCTGCGCAGGAGTTTCCATTGTGCAGGGCCCCAGGAAGATCTTATCAGGAGTTTGTTCAGCTGGGACAGACGTGGGGCACAGCGGGCAGCACAGGGCTGGTGACGGGGGGAGAGGAGGGGGCTGAGTGCTCAGCCATGGAACAGAGCTGGGCAGAGGTACCACTGACCCCCCCAGACACAGCAGAGGGGGAAGCTCTGGGCAGGGAGGGCAGAGCAGAGCTGCTCAGGCTCAGGGACAGTGCTGGCACAGGAACTAACAGGAGCCCATGCACTCAGGCTGAAGTTAGAAGAAAGCCACCAGCACCATGGCACGTTTGGGGCTCAGTTCCCATGGGAATACAGAAGGCAGAAATATAGTCTCAAGATGCTCTTCAATACTACACAAGGTCTTTTCCTGCAGTAACAGCAAAGTGCTCTCACCGAGCAGGAAGGTCCTTCAGCATGTGCTTCAGAGGACTCAGACCCCATGAGGGGACCCCAGGAAGGGACCCCAGGAAGGGACCCCCAGACCCGCTGTGTGAGCTCCTGTTCTGTTCAGTGGGCACTCAGCCTGACGAGGGCCCAGCCCCGACACCAGGGCAGGACAGCAGCTCCTGAGGAGCCTGGAGCAGCACGGGGAAGGCAGAAACCTGTTTCCATTGCTGACTCTGCTGCTTGGCCCAATGTGCTCTTACTGCCCGGGGCAACCTATCCACGTGTCTCCTTTTTGATTCCCTTTCAAAGGGCCTCATCCAAATCACAGAATTGTTTGGAAAAGACCTTTAAGATCATAGAGTCCAACCTAACTCTACCAAGTCCACTGCTAAACTACATCCCTCAGCACCACATCTCCACGGCTTGGAAACCCCTCCCAGTACGGGGACTCAAGGCTTGATAACTTTTTCAGTGAAGAAATTTTTACCAATATCCAACTAAAACCTCACCTGGTGCAATTTGAGGGCATTTCCTCTTGTCCTATCTCCTGTTACTTTAGAGAAGAGTCTGACCCCCACCTGGCTCCAACCTCCTGTGATGGAGTTAGAGACAGGTCTCCCCTGAGCCTCCTTTGCTCCAGGCTCAGCACCCCCAGCTCCCTCAGCTGCTCCTCCCCACACTTGGCCTCTAGGCCCTGATGCACAAGGCCAATGGTCACCACAAACATCCACAGTGAAGAGTGCAGGAGACTCTGCTCCAGCCTCGTACATGCTACAGGACTATCACTGCTGGCAAAAGTCACCCACAGAGCACATCCAAGAGTAGATTTCCAAGTGGTTCCAGACACTCCCCACACGTGCAAGGAGCGCCCGAGTCACGGGGCATGCAGGGCACGAGTGCTGCCCATGCTGGGTGACCTCACAGGGAGAGGCAGGAGGCAGACACCCGGGTCCCACAGCAGCAGCACCAGCAGCACATTTCCTGCACCACCACAGATATTTCTTCTGGCTGGGTGAGTTTTTCTTATTCAGCCCCCTCCTTTGCCTCCCCCTCACACACCCATATTTCATCCGCTCCTTGCAGCAGTGATTTAGATATCACTTACCAGGAGGCTGATTTCAGTTCTGCAGTGACAAGGGAATATATATTAAAATGAAGCATTGCAAGAAATGCTAGAAGAGATTATCAGCACACAAACGCCGGGAAGCAGAAGGGTTTAG